TTCTCCCATATATATTCTTGTACATGTTGTGCCTGGAAACGTTGATAGTAATTGAATCTTAATGGTATATTCCTGTTGAATTGCTGTACTTATTAGAAGTGCGAAAAAGTAAGTTTAACCTCGAGTTTTTGTGACTGTTGCCCCTTGTTATTTAACCAAAATTCAAGTTCACTCAGTCCAAATAGAGGATAATTAAAATCACTTGAAAGCAGGTATCACACAAATTTTAATTTTATTCTTGAGGGCAGGATTTCTTTCGGTTGTAAAAGGTTTCTAAATTGTCGAATGATTCTGAAATTTACCGACTGCAAGAACTGAGTTCAAGTTTTCCAAACTGAATGTTGTGTTCCTCCTGTTGAATGAAAAGTGCGCTCTTGCCTTCGGTTTTATGAAATGGTTGCAAAGCTGTCATACAATTTCGCAATAGACCTGGATCACGCTGTATATATCAGCGGCAGCATTAATAAATGGACGGAAAGGACGTATTATGAATGAACACAACACCGTAGTATAGAAGGCTCAAGATTATAAATGCTTTTGAAACTTAAGGAAACACTTATTTTAAGAATAAAATGTAAAGAAGGCGTAATTTCCTATAAAATGAGTACAAAAGAGGATTTTTTCGTGCATGCTTCCCATAAGGTTTATTTGAATTTATAAAGGCAGTCAAAATTAAAGACAAATGTGCACACCATTTAAGTGCCCATTTTTTACATAATTAACTTTTTCGCAGCGGTCAGAAAGAAACTCATCACAAATTCGGCATCGCTGCGTGACTGAAAATAATCATGTTGCAGAAAAGAACATGCTCATATTGGAAAAACGCAACCGAAAACCAATTTTGGTCAATGTAAGAATTCTGCCGCTTACAGGGTTAACCCCTTACCGCTGCGTCTTCCAGGCCTGGTTCCCTAGGAGGAGCGAGACACCATGTAAAGGCTAGGGCGATAGGAAGAGTACATTCTGTACAGTCAGAAAGGTCAAAAGTTAGGACAAACTTCTGACTGCAGGAGCGTGCTTCGTGGCCCTGATTGATGCCTAGGTGCAGACACCACATTGTCGTCTGTGTCCACACAGATTGAGGCCAACCTTCTACATGAGAACAGTCTCCTAACGCGGCCATCTCATTGGATGGATTAAGGTCACAAAACGGGAAGGCAAGGTGCGCAAGCTTGGCATGACATCAACAACAGCAGTTTGACGCGATGAGTCAGTATTTGGCGAACATTTATGAGCGGCTGATCATGGGTTCCAAGTAGCGTTAGCGGAGACAACGCTCTGACGGTTGAACTCCAGCACGGCTTCCGTCTGTTTAAATACACGCCTTGGTTGGTTTAATGTCGAGAAAATCAGCAGCTATTGCATCGACTTTAATTAAGAAGATTGCGTATATAACAGAATTTAATGGAACCATAAATTTCGCGAGCGCTCATCGGCTGCATCCACTCACTGCGTAAACTGAGTGACGAATTAGAAAATACAAAATTGAAATCATCCAGAAAAATCGATATAAAAACATCAAGGCCGCAATAATTGGCAAAGGGGCAATCATTAAAGTAGGACATTTAAATGTGGTGGGCGGCAAAAAGCGGTGAAGAAACAAAGCCCGTAATCACATCCTTTCCCTTTAAGGGTAAAAACATCTTCACCACAATGGAGAGACGCTTATGTAACACAATTGAAAGAACCTACTTTGCTGCAGAGCTCACACTTTGTAACTCGAGAAAGAACCTTCCGATTCCAATTGCGAAGGATGCCTTGCCATTGTACGCCACTTTAAATTTTGTTTACGAATTTACGTGCACTTGTGCATGCAAATACATAGGGCGAACACAAAGGCAATTGGCAGCCAGAGCTAAGGAGTACTTGCCGAGTTGGCTATTCAAACAGGAGAATAGAACACTTCGATCTTCCATTACGGAACATCTCTTGGGTACGGGCCATTCTGTAGACCCTAAAACATATTTCCGAGTACTTGCTCGGGCACGAACAACTCGTATCTTACGCTACCTGTAGGCAGCATACATACGGCGGTTTAAACCTGACCTATGTAAACAACTGGACCATGTGGTGAATCTAATCCTGCCGTGTTAGCACCGGCTCCCTGTTTACACATTCCCATTCCCAACTTGTTTGTCTTCAGAGTGGTTTGCCTTATACATTTTTACACCGTTTCTACACCGTTTTTTGCTGCCCACCACGTTTAACTTTCCTACTTTATTGATTGCCGCTTTGCCAATTCTTGTGACCTTGATGTTTTTGTATCGTTTTTTCTGTATGGATTCAATTCTGTATTTTCTCATTCGTTACTAAGATTACGCAGCTAGTGAATGCGGCTGATGAGCGCTCACGAAATTTATGGTTCCAGTATCTTCTGCTATAGAGGCAATCTTCAAATTTGTATCTCGGAAAAGATGCTTTAGACTTTACCTATGCCTAAACTTTAAGAATTCAGCTCGCAGGGCTTTAAAAGCCTGCGCAAGTAACTGACAAAATACAGGTTTTAACATATTTGTTAGCATAGACTATTCATTCGGTTTAGGTTTTTTACTATATGTTTTTGTCCTATTGCGTACGCTGTTTTGCGGGATGCGAATTATCAGCATCCTTTGGTAAGGCATAGCAACATGCAGGACCCAGACTGCAGACAGTTGCCGAATTACGTCACCTGCCTCGGCATTTGTGTTCGTGACACACGGTGACATCAGCGGACTCGTGGTTTTCGACATAGCTGACGTTTGACGACCTTGACTAGAGCTGATGCACCAATAGCACTGGCGGTAACCCTATCGGCCTTTACAGATGCAAGCTCGTTAGAGTTTGATGGGCTGCATTCAGTAGCTGGGAGTTCTTGATTGCTTTGTTACTCTATGCCACGCATGCAATTGAACAACCTACGCAAAGAGCCACCTGCCATAAAAATAGTGCATATCCTGAACCCGTTCATTATACTATCTGCGGAGGGACAGGTCAGTTGTGAACTCTTTAGTAACAAAACCGAGTCACACGCTGTGCACTAGAGTCCACAGAAACGGGGCGCATTTTAGTTTAAGTATATACATATAATAATAAGTTTTATTTGTTAATGCATGTTCTTAAACTTGCAGTCGTTATCATAATGTCTAATTTCGTGCGAAAGAGCACATGCGGTCTTTGTTTACTATCATTACGTAGTTTAGCAATCAAGCTGGCGTGCATTCCATTACACCCACTTTAAAGCAGTAAGGTGCAGGCGTGTTTATTTAGGAAGTAATAAAATGCTTGGTTTAATCTTATTGATCTCTACTGTTTTTCATTTTTTTAGGATCACAATGGGGGGATCAGACTGTTGGGAATTTTTAGAAACTTTCCTGTGGGGTTCTTGCATAGTTTCCGTTCTTGGGGGAATAGCCATGGTTGTTGTTGGGTCATTCCTTATCGTACGAAATCCCCTACCCAGCAATATGACCTGGTGGGGTGCGAACGGCGCCTGGAACAGTTGGTGGAACGAACCCTCCAGTGAGCAGTGGTACGTTAGCTAGCACTTCATATTCTTTTTCTTCTTTTAAATTACTAAACTTAAGATAATGTGTTTGCGAATGTAAGCTGATGCTATAGGCCAGAGGTTAGGAACTTTTTTGACTTAGAGAACCAAATAAAACCCATGCCTGGAAATATATTTCAGTGTGAGCCATATAATGTACTTTAAGTGTGATTGGGGAAAGCAATATCACAAAATCTGAAGTTTCTACTGCGATGTTTATCTTAGTGGGGCCGACGCAATCATCACAGGACCCACGCCTGGCTCGCAAGCCACAGGTTGTCGACTCCTGCGAAAAGTGTTCGTGAGAATACTATTCCTTGTGTGAACAATTTACATATAAGTCAGCACTCCACTGTAACCGAATGCATAGAAGGTACCCAAATTGTGAGGTTTTGTTCACGTTGCGTACAAGTGCCTGCACGGGCTCTAATTGGAAGCGCCTGGTCAAAACTGATGTCAATTTCTTCTCTGATATATCCAAGATACACATATGTTCATATATTGTGATTGTATTCATATATATATATATATATATATATATATATATATATATA